CTTCTTTGGCGCTGAAATCGGTCCGAAGCGTGCCCGGTCATTACGCCCTGTGTGCGGTCTATAGAACACATGTACGAGTTTATCTAATACGAGTTTATCTAACACTGGAGAGTAGGCGGTGAACGGAGGTGCCTGGCCATAATGTGGGAAGTGTTACGCTAACCGGGCCTCAGACTGTGTGCTGTTTTGGACCGGCCGGGTTAGAATCGTTCTGCACCCACCCAGCTGTCGCAGGTACTCAGACTGACTACAGAAACGAAATGGTGTAGTGCGATTTATATTTTCTTTCTGGAGTCAAATACCTGGCAATTGCCGTGATTTTTTAATCTCTCTCCAATAGCCAGCGCTATGTCAAGTCCCTCGAACTTGAGTAGGCAAACCGAGGTACAGAGGCAGACCGGGGTTTGGGAGGGAAGATGTGGGGGGTAGAGTAAGGGTTTCCTCCCGTTTCTCTCTCTCTCTCACAAGTACACGCACATACATACAGTTATCTCGGAACAGCCCTCGGGAGAGAAGGCATGTGCAGAAAATCCCGGGTCTGGTCTTGAAGTTGGTGTGGGAGGCTAGGCAGGCAGGTCTGAGTCCACTCAAAAACATGTCGAGGCCGCCTGTGGTGGGACTGAGAACTGGGCCAAAGTGCCGCATACATCTCTCCCGAGCTTTTGCGAGCTTGTAGACTTTCTGAAAGGGTTTAATGGACTTATTAAACTCCACTTTGCCAACGCCTGCTTTTGCTTTCTGACTGGGTTTGAAACAAAATTAATCAGGCCGCGTGGTGGTTTTGGAGCCTGTGTGTTATATCTGTAAGTACCTGTATGACAATGTATGTGTGTCTGTTTATCGGTGTGTATCTATATGTGTCTGTCAGTGTCTGTGTACCTGTGTGTGTGTATTTGTATGTCTATGTATCTTTATCTCTGTGTGTGTCTATTTACCTGTGTGTTTCTATTTATCTGTGTGTCTATTTATCTGTCTACTTATCTCTGTGTGTTTCTATTTATCTGTCTGTGTTTCTATTTATCTGTGTGTGTCTATTTATCTGTGTGTGTTTCTATTTATCTGTGTGTATATATACACCTGTGTGTGTTTATTTGTGTGTGTGTGTTTGGGTGTGTGTGTGGGGGGGTGGGTGTGTGTTGAACAATGTACGTCTGTGTGTATGTGGGTGGGTGTGTGTTGAACAATGTACGTGTGTGTGTGTTGTGTATCTGTGTAGCTGGGATGGCGGCCGGAGACAGGGAGATCCTGTACGTTCTGTGACCCAGGATCTTATCCACAACTGAAATGGGGCTGATTTCTCACTGTCGAATGGGGCTCTCCGAATGTCACATTGAGACTATACTCCCACAGAGAGAGGGAAAAAAAGCTTGAAAAGCTAAGGGGACAGGCAAGGTAGAAAATTAGAACGGGTGCGAATCTTAAGGAATGAACAGCCCAGCCTTTGCTCTGAACTGCATTGAAATCCGTGCGTTAACTTGTTTCTCAAGCTACCCAGTTTTTTTTTCTTTCTCTCTGACTTGCAATTCAGAGCCGGGGTATTGAGACTGGAGCCGGTGAACTGAGCGCTCAATATCAACCGGCAGCCAAGGGACCCGGTGAGTATCTTTTCTTTCCCAGGGAATGTGTGACACGGCTCGGTCAGTGCAGAAATACAGACACCACCACCCCCCCACCCCCCCAACCCTCCTTGTCAATGAGCACCGAGAAACCCGCAGGCAAACGTGAGAGCAAGAGGCAGGAGAGATCTAACTCAGGGAGCGCTCAGCTCTCCCGGTGTAAACGAAAAAAAAAGGGGAACAGAATTTTTTTATATAAATGAAAGATGTAGGAGAGCGAAAGGAGCAGAGTATGACACCGATGAAAATACAAATGGAGCTGTTTTAAAATGTGAAATCTAGACAGACAGGAAAAGACCTGTCCCTGAACCAGAGACTGCTGTTCACTGGGAACCTTGAAATTAATCTTACTTAAATGAAAGAAAAAAAAGTTCGAGGAAGATACAGAGAAAAAAAAAACAACGAACAAATTGTCCTCTTCTACTGGCCAAAAGGCTGGTCAGAATTTAATATATCTCCTCAGCCCGTGTCAGCGATCCTGCCCGCGCCTGATGAATACACATCGAGGTGATTTTTTTTGAAGAAGATCTTTCTATCAATAAACAGAGCATTACACGCCGCGTCGCCTCAAGAAAGCTTTGAATGACAGTGAAGATGTTTAATATTTTTCGATGTACTCTTAGGGGATCAGGAGACATCGACTGCAGGAAAATAATCGCAGACATTACATCCTAAAATATCTTAAGGAAGAATATAGAACAGAAAATGTGTTCAGACACGTGAGGCAACATATAGAGACGTGTGTGAGATGTACGTTAGAAAGTCCATGCGTGTGCCCTGTGTATTCTGGACAGAACGTGGGCACAGAATATCGCAGAATATGTGTAGTTAGGACTGAGGCAGATTTCTTCTCGGTTCCCCCGCTAACCCCACCCCCCCGGCCCCCTACCACCCCCGTCGCTTATATCTTATGATTTGGGGGTGTGAGCCTACACCGTTGGTGCTCGGTTTCCCCAGGATCCTTTGTAGCCAGCGCCTGAATGTGTAGACGCTGCCTCCGCCCCGTGTCCTGTGAGTGGCGCGGAAGCACTCGGGAGGGGTTGGCTCCCAAGGGTCGAGCTGGTCGTGACAAACAGGGAAGAGTGTGTGCCTGTGTGTGAGTGACTGGGAGGAAAGTTTGGGGTTAGGAAACTCGTAGAGAGAGAGAGACGGGCAGAGAGAGAGAGGGAAGGGGGACACAGCAAAGTTCATGAAGCCTGGACGTTGTGAATTGGGACTTCGGCCGTTCTGACAGCATTGGACTGGAAAGAGGAATTCCATAGGACGGACTGTCGATTAGCTTCGGGAAACAGGTACCTGCACAGAGAGACGACTGGGGACAGGGGTTGGGGTGGGGAGATGCTGTAAGCGCCTTCTGCCCGTCCGTTACGATGAGCCTCTCCCGCTTCATAAATTAAATCCGTTCCCCGGAAAGAGAGACTGGGTTCCCCGAAATCGCGGTGAGTCGCATGTGGGACGAGCTAACACCCTAAAAGCAACGTGTGTGCATGCATTTTATGATCGAATTTACAAAGTGAAATCAGCCCAGCATATTCAGTGCAACTTTTTAAATCTATATTAAAAATATTTCAGTGAGGATTGAAGTGCACGGCTTTTATGGTAAAACCTAGGATCTGCGCGGTTACAGTCATCCCAAATCCCTGGTCTGTTCTTTTCGTCTTCACAATTGTAGCAGTAACAATGACTTTCTTTTCAAAAAAAAATTACTACTTATATCTTCAGTGACCTTTATGTTGTTCGAGTATGTTTGAATCTGAAAAATTTCCCTCGCGTCGTCAAACGCGAATTGAGTGCTTGAAAATATTTACAAACCCTTTCTACACTCAATTCACTTTTAAACCTTCTGTTTTGCTCTGTGTACTTTATAACCCGCTTTCCATCTGCTCGCAGTTTGTTCATTTACTTTTCCATCATTAAAAAAGCTAATTTTAAGTTTCCAAATCTCGATTTTTAAAAAAAAAGATACTATTTCTTAAACGCATGTTGAGCGGCGAAGCCGATTTTCAAACTGCAGTTTTGAAATATTTGAATTCGCATATATACATAGTTAAAACTCAAGTACTTCGCATGTAAATGATTAAATGAAAATATTAAAACTCGACCTTAAAATCCCTCAAAACCCCACTTGAAGCATAAGATTTAAAATGTGGCGCAGATCTGACTGAATATCGAACGCAATTAATAACGTTAAATTTTAGCTCCCTAAATATAAAAGCAAAACATTTAAGATTAGAATAAGTGACAAGATTTTTTTAAAAATACAAAGTGTAGTTAACATATTTTTTTCTTGTATAATATATATTTATAATATATTATTTATAATACCTTTTGTAATTTACCTTTTGTAATTTACATTATGAAGGGAAATAAAACCGAATTGGTTACACAGGGAACCTGGCGGGTTTGTGGAAATGTTCCCCAGAAGTTGTGATCGATGGAAGGTGCAAATGGATTCGGGAGCCTCTATCCTGCTCTAAACTCTCTGTGTGTTGTGTGTGTGTGTGTGTGTGTGTATGAGAGAGAGAGTGTGTCTTTGTGGGGGGCGAGTGGAGATGGTGTTTAACCTGTTGGGGTTAGGCGCCTCTATACTCCCACTTTCCCTTCCCCGAACTCTCCTCGTCAACTCCAAAAATTCTCCACACCGGAAATTAATCCTCTAATGGGCCCGAGCTTTAGAAATTCACTTGCTGCTGTTTCAGCTTTCTTGACCGTCTGGTCCCATCAATCAGATGGGGAGGATGGACGGGGAGAATTCCTCAATTCTTCCCAGTATGAGAGAGATGTACCTCACTTTTTACGGTGGGGCGTGAAAAAAAAAAATTCTAGGTCAATTAAACTAAGACTAATCATAGCATGTGATATGTTGTTATGTCGTACGATTAGTGTTGTTTCTTTTTTTTAAAGAAAGGAACAGTTTCATCTCTGCATATTCTGGCAGAAACTGCTGGAGGGAAACATTGAGATTTTGGACGGGGTCCCGGTTGAGAATTTTGCGACGTGGTTCACGCCAGTTCCCGGTCCTCCCTGACTGTTGAGTGCGGGAGAGGCTGTGTTCCTTTTCCTTTCCGCTGGCGGAGGTCGGCAATTTGATGGAAAAAGCGGGTGGGAAAGGAGGAGAGTAGGAGGTGGGAAATTCTAGTCCGAGGCGCTTCCTCCTAACCCCCACCCCCTCTTCTCTCCCCTCCTCACGCCCGAACACGCTGAGTGTGCTTGCAATGGGACCGGGCGCCGCTTGCGGGATGCCGAGGCCAGCTAGTTGTGTTGGCTTGTGCGAGAACCGATCCGAACTGACGAGTTCCGCTCTCTTTCATTTTTTAGGTGACGCTTCACAACAGCAACCGCAGCCACCGACCAACCCCCTCCCGTCCCCGACCCCGTCTCTCACCTCCACCTCCCCCTCCAACCCCGAAACCATGCTGGACGGATTGAAAATGGAAGCAAGTTTGCAGCATTCGGCAGAGAACACGGCCTCGCTTCTGGGTGAGTTCGAAGTTTTCAGAGTCAGCCCTCGCTGTGAGATCGCAGAAAGTCAATGCTGTTCCATCCGCAGGTCGACCGCCCAATGTTACTTTACCTCGTTCCCCTTACTTTTTAGCTCGTCATTTTGAAAGAGGTTTATTTAAAAAAAAGTGAACAGATCGCTCACACGTCGATTGTACAACTCGCTTGCTCATAACTTGCGTGTTGACGCTGGTACAGCTATGGGCAACGTATTGGGGAATAGTTGCAATGGTGTGTACCGTCAGAATGTAAAATCTACACAGTCTATCCGAAAGGACATAGCCTGAACAAACCCAGGGTATATAACTGTGTGTGTGTGTGTGTGTGTGTGTGTATAGAGTGCACATGCAATATTCTAACACATAATGTACACACTGAACAGGAGCACATTACATTTACAACGTGTGGGTGTCCGGAAGTAATATTTATTATAATAATGCATTATAATAATAATACATTAATAATAATGCATCATTCATTCACACAATTCGATAATCCCCAGGTTATAAATACATTAATATATAAATTCTAGCAATTAAAAGCATGTACTACCTAAATGTTAGACACACCGCTAGTGTACATATTACATCTCAATGCAGAGCCGACATATAAAGGTATCAACCTACGTTCATACATAGATCTGTGAATTTGTACCCAAGCGCACGGACAAACACTTTAACTCTTTAGTTCCGAAGCTTTCACTGAATGCATTGCCAATAAATCGGCTGTTTGCAAACAACCCTGACGCTTTGGCGGCCTCTCCGACTGATAAGTCGATTTTGTCCTTCAGATTCTGAGGAAGTGTCAAATTCTTGTGAGCTCCCACAGCAATATCAGAATGCCCCCTCTCTCTCTGACACACACACGCACACACATTCTGCGGAGCTGTAATAACGATGTTAAAATCTAACTCAAACCCGTACATTAAAATTCACAGAGTTTCAAATCTGTGCAGAGAGCCAGGGTTGAGCTGACAGGGAAATTTTTGCCCGAGATTCGGAATTTACTATCGAGTTCCGCACTCAGGTTATCGATATGATCAAAAAGCTACCCTTGCTCTTAAAATGGGAACAAAAAAAAACTTTGCTCACATAGAGACATCTTTGCGTGATCCCTCGGAGATTAATAAGAATCAGTCGGATGATTGTATTTAGTTGTACCTCCAGCCTTTGTAGTTGCACCATCGCCCTGGAGCTGTCTTTTAATTGCAAAATGAAGCCTTTAGCCGGTGGCGTGCCAGGGCGAGGGCGTGCACTCTGGGAAGAAGAAACAAAAAAAAAGTTGTCCGGTTTGGAATATGTGCGGAAGAAGGTGTGAGAAGTCAGGATTATCATAATCGATGGAAGTACCTCAGAGCCGCGGGTTCAGGCCGGCTAACAGAAAATCCAAATATTTCTGACAGGCGGAGAACTGCTCAGTCAGAGAAGCTAACATCCGCGCTTTCAGTTTTAGCCCCGGCGCAGCAAAAGTTGACAACTTTAAACGCCGGAATTAAACAAAATGAGACGGCTTTAAACTCACAGCGAGTGGGGATTTCCGATCGTTGCATGGATTGTTGACTACTTTATTTAGCTGTTTGTGCATCTTGGTTCTCAGTGCTTTCCAAATGATTTAAGGGAATGCTTTTAACCTGTGTGTGTCTGTGTGTGTGTGTCTGCGTGTGTTAGCGGTTGAAGAGAGCAATAATCAGCTCGGTACAGGGACAAGAGCGGGTCAGAGCTGGACTGAGAGCCTTATTGACTGACCGAGAGTTGAGTGTTTAGATGATGGGGAATGCGTTCCTAAATGGAAAGAGGGGGGAGTTTGAGTTTGCTTGTACACAGGTAGCAGAGGCAAACAGACATCGGATGCGGTGATATGGGAAGAAACAGAAATGTCAAGATTTGCTTTGGTCCCTCACTCGTGCAGGCGTTTAATCTCATGCCAGCCCTTCGATTACGCTTTTTTCTCAGCCAAGTGTGTGGTGCCCATGGTAATAGTGATCCAGTACTCGGTCACCGCTGTAGACACGGGCGAGAACGAGTTCAGGGGGATTGCTGTAATGTAAACGTTATAACTATTAGAAAGATGTAATTATTACTCGTGAGGTCTGGCAGCGCAAGCAGCATAGTTATTTACACACTTTAGGAAAGTTAATGTTTCGGCTGTCAGGCCAATTAAAAGGTGTGTTTTGAATTCAGACTGTGATCTGCATGTGTGTGTGCATTGCGGACATGCACACATACATACAGACACAGGACACATTACAGACAGGCAAGGATTATACAGACATGGACATACAGGTGTATATATACACACAAACACACGAAACATGCATACAAGCACGGATTATGCAGGCATGGCCATCCAGACGCGGACCTACAGGTATGGATACACATATAGGAAAGGACACAGACATATACACACATATAGAAACGGGGCGCATACGTACAGACAAAGATTATACAGACACGGTCAAACATACAGGCACAGACATGCATACAGGGAGGGACACATACACAGACACGGGACACATTACAGGCAAGGGCATTTACAGACATGAGCAAACATACAGTCACGGACACATACGTACAGGCAAGGACACAGACACGGGACATGGATATAAGGCAAGGACGCATACGGACATGGAGAAACATAACAGACACGGACACATCGACACAGGGAAGGACACAGACGCGGGAACACACTGATACACGCATACACGCATAAGCCCTACTAACTTTGATTTTCGTCCTTTAACTCACATTTAATCGAGATGGGCCCAACTGAGAGAGCGGCTGAAGTTACAGCAACGTTTCTTTCGACATTCTCCAAACTCCCTTCCTGACCGTTCCCGTTGCATTAACCAGCAGCTAACCCCCTATAACAGACAGGCGGCATGGTCATTATTGAAAAACAAACATTCGAAATTATTCTCAGGCTATCGAAATTCCCCCCGCCCCGAAAAAAAATAAATACACATGAGCAGCTTTCGTTGCTGTTGGAAACTGCAGAACCGTTGTGAAGGCAGTGCTGCTTTTCACGGTATTTGATATTTAATCTCCGTTAATGACATTGCGCCTTTCCGCATGTCGGTGGTTCCTGCGCTTACCAGGGGGTCTCGGTGCGGGGAGAAATGTGAAAGGGGCCCTTTCTCAAATGCAAGGCCCAGCGACCCGCAAAGCGGTAGCGCCATTCTGGAGCAGGCAACGAATTTCCGATGGGCTGGGAGCTACAGGCGGCTCTGTTAAAGGAAACCAACATAATTTTGGAGATGGTAGGAACTGCAGATGCTGGAGGATCTGAGATAACAAGGTGTAGAGCTGGATGAACACAGCGGACCAAGCAGCATCAGAGGAGCAGGAAAGCTGACGTTTCGGGCCTGGGCCCTTCTTCATCCAGCTCTACACCTTGTTATCCAACATAATTTTCACCAGATTACTTAGAGAACGATTTTCAAATTGTTCCACAGTTTTTTTTATTGAAACAACTTGGCAGTGAACACAATTGCACCTACGCGTATCTGACCTGTTTGTACAACTAATGTTCGTATTTAATGGGATGGGATGGATGAGGAAGCAGTCAAAATGGATGCAGAGGGATCCGGCACCATCCACATGTACACGACTTGTAGTCACATGTACCCAAAAGCGGCGAAAGGCTTTGTCTTGCGAGCAGTACAGGCAGATCATAGCAAACAAGAACATAGACAGAGCGAGGCATACAGGTTACAGCTGCACAGCAGGTGTGCAAAACAAGATCAATATTAGCAAGGTCAACATTATTTGACGTTAGAGAGGTCCATTCAGCAGTCTAATAACAGCAGGGAAAAAGCTGTCTTTGAATCTGTTGGTGCGTGTGTTCAAACTTCTGTATCTTCTGCCTGAAGGAAGAGGTTGGAAGAGAGCATAAGGGGGTGGGAGGGGTCTTTGATGTTGGCAGCGTTTCCCATCAAGGAGAAGTGTAAATGGAGTCCATGGATAGGAGGTTGGCTTCCGTGATGGTCCCAAATATGATGACCCATAGCTCTCCATCATTCTACACATACCTCCGTTCACACGCCCAGGTATACACACTCATGTGTTAGATAGGTGCGAACACGCGGATCCTGACCAAGCATGTTTCCAATGGCTTTCCTCCATCTAAATTACACAAAAGTGGTCCTGGGAAATGTAGCCTCAAATATTTGCAGCAACAATTTCTTGCCAGAAGTTCAGTGTGACACCTGCTTTTCTAGAATGTATATTTGTTTAGGAATATATCTGGGTGTTTCCCTTTCATCCCTGAACACACACGCAGACGTACGCATGGACGCTGCTCGCTCCCAACACATAACTCGTTGAGTAATGTTTCACTTTGGGCAGACTGCAGTCCACCCAATTGGCCACAGAGGGGTCTTCACATTGCCGCTGTGACCTTTGACCTCAAGGGGAGTGGGTGGGATGAGGCAGGGGCGGGCGGTGGTTGCTCAGAGAAGCAACCACCTTCTGCCCCTCTCTCCACTGGGAGCTAAACTGTCCTTTCTGATGTGACCCTCATCCCTCCTCAGCACTCCCTGAGGAAGTCCCAAGCATCACAGTGCACCCGCTCATTGTAAATTAACTGGGTTTTCCGGATCTGAGGAAGGGTCTCTAGACCTGAAATGTTAACTCTGACTTCTCTCCAAAGATGCTGCCAAACACTGCTGGGGTTTTCCAGCAATTTCTGTTTTTTTTTGTTTGGGTTTTACGTAGTTGGGTGGAGGGGGGATGTTGGAATTCTAAGACAGTATTTAGCATATAATCCACGTCAGTGGGTTAGCCGTGGGAAATGTAGAGTTAAAGGGATAGAGTGTGGATGCTTTTCTGCGGGTGGGTGTGGACTCGATGGGCCGAGTGGCCTGCTTCCAAACTGTCTGCGATGCTGTGATTTGCAACATTTCCTGGGAGAGATGGACACATCCTAAACTGGGGACAAGAAAGGGATGATGCAGAGTGTGGGCGGGCTATAGGCTGTAGGTG